TAAGGGGGGACATGATCCAGGTCTATAAGATTCTAACGGGTCTGGATGCTATTCAGCCAAATGGCTATTTCAATATTAGTTTAAATACTAGAACTCGTGGCCATAAGTGGAAATTAGCGGGAGAACATTTTAAAACGAATTTGAGGAAGCACTTCTTTACACAGCGTGTAGTTAGAGTATGGAATAGTCTTCCTGCTAGTGTAGCAGACGCTAAAACCCTGGGTTCCTTTAAATCAGAGCTAGGTAAGATTTTAACAACTCTGAGCTATTAGTTAAGTTCTCTCCAAACGAGCTTGATGGGCTGAATGGCCCCCTCTCGTTTGTAAATTTCTTATGTTCTTATTACACCATCCAAATCCTCCAGCATCTGCGACATTCACCTCTGAAAATGCTCTGGAGCTGATGCTATGCCAAAAGGAAGTCGATTGAACTGATATCTTCCAAAAGGAGTGATGAAGGTCGTGAGGGGTTGTGACTCTGGCTTGAGAGGAATTTGCCAAAATCCAGATTGAGCATCTAGCTTTGTAAACACTCTAGCCTCTCTCATCATTGCAAGTGTTCAGTCCACTGCAGGGAGAATATGGCATTCTCTTTTCACAACTGTGTTTAGAGGAGTGAGGTCTACACATATTCTGCGTGGCTTATTTGCAGATTTTGGGATGACAACTATTCCTGAACACCATGCTGTTGGCTCAGTGACCTTAGAGATAACTCCCATCTTTTTCATCTTTTCTGTTCAGCTCTGCTTGTACTGCCTCCCTGAGGGGAAGGGGGATTCGTCGGGGAGCAGAGAGCAATGGGTTTGGCTCCCTGTTCCAGCTCTATGTGGTAAGGCTCTGTTAACCTGCCCAAACCTCAAAAAACATCTGGATACGCTGCTCTGAAGTCTCTCTCAGCTTCCCTGACTGTGTCCACTCTGTACACTAAGCCCAAGGCCTCGCATGCTGGTCTGCTCAGCAGTGGACGTACCAGCCCTGATACGAGGTAGATATTCTGTGAAGTGCTGCGTCCTTCTGCCACCAGTTGTGCTTTAAAGCAGCCTTTCACTTTAAGTGGGTAACTACTTGAGCCCAGCAGTGTCTTCTTTGGTTCCTGCAGCTTACCATCTCCTTCAGGTTTGTATAACCTCTCCGCTATAGACGTAACATCTGCTCCGGTGTCAAGTTTAAACTCTACATTTTCTCCATTTATTTTAACTTTTTCTGTCCATGGCTGTGATCTCTCTGTCCCAATTTCTCCCAGAAAAACACAGTCCTCGTTGTCTCCGTCATCCTGCTGTTCCATGACTGTGTGTAGACCTGATGCCTCGCCTGAACGGCAAACTACAGCAAAATGCCCTTTTTTCTGACATTTCAATTCAATTCTTTATTGTCATGTGTACAAGTACGAGTACCATGTACAATGAAATGCTTGCTTGCATGTGCTGCTCGAGACAGTGAACATAGACAACAACACAATGAGTAAATAAATAAATTAGACCAGAATCCCAGGAATAAATAGAGACAGTGGCAGAAGTAAGAAACAGCAGTACGACATATACATGTGTGATTAATGAGTTGTTAGAAAATATACATCTATACATTTTCTTATTTGTGATCTAAAAATTACATTTTCTTTTGCTTAGGCAGAGCAGGTTGAGGCATTTAAATACCTGGGCACAGTTATGGAGCCTCCATGTCATTCCCTCAACATGCTGACCTTGTGTTTAAAATGGCCCAACAGCTCCTGCACCTTCCACAGAGGCTCATGAGTTTTAATGTTGGTCATTTATTGGTTCTGTTCTCACTATTAATCTGACATGCTGGTAAATCTCTCTTAGTGTTAAACTTAAATCAAATGTTTCTCAGCTTGTTAATCAGGCCAGATAACAGGGGCAGCTCAGCTTTCACTGCCTGAGTTGTTCTCTCTTGATCAGTCTCTAGGAAAGACACCCCTATAATACAGGATTCACCGCGGGACCCATAAGTTTTATGTGTGAAAAATGGCAACAAAACCATGTGAAGGTTTGGCATGAAATATCAGGCGAAACATCAACAGAAGCAGATGGCTTCCATATTAATGAAATGGGAGCAGTAACAGCTGTGGGCAGCAGAGGGCGCTCAGCTCAGAGCAACGAGCTTCACGGGAGGAGAGCAGGATGTGTGTGTGAGTGTCTGTGTGCATGAGTGTATGTGAATGTGTGTGTGTGTGTGTGTGTGTGTGTGTCTGTCTGTCTGTGTGTGTGTGTCTGTGTGCATGACAGTGTGTATGTGAATGTTTGTACGGGTTTGTATTCACCGCATTGTGAGGAACAAATATCTCAACTATGTGTCGAAACCTGTTACTTTTTAGCTTATGGAAACATTTTTCAGCTCTCCACAATATAATCTTCAATTTTATAAAAATCTGAATGTAATCAAACAACTAAATTAGCCAAAAGTCTTATATTTTGTTTGGTTACTTATGGTTCAGGTTAGAGCTGGATAAAAGATACGGTTATCTTAGTTAGAATTAGGGATATGCCCAGAGAAACGACAGTGACGCCCTGTGACTGTCAAAGGACAGTTTACATGCCTGTCACACGTATGTCTCTCAGTAACTGGACACAACTGTGATAATTTGTATGTTTTTGAAGACAAAAATGTCTGTGTTTGTGTCACCAGAGGGATAAATATTCCTCTTTGCATATGTGTCACTGTCTGTAAGTATATCACAGATGTGAGAGAAATGCTTGTGCATATAGGCTGTAAACCCTCATGCTCATGCATTTTAGTCTCTGTAAGTGTTACGTTCCGGCTGCTGTCAGACGCAGCATAAACGCACTCAGACCCAGGATGGCTCGATTGTCAGGGGTCATTTATTAACAAAGAGCACAAACAGGAGAGAACATAACAGAAAAGGACAATGAAACACTGATGCAGAGCCGAAGCCGGCGTGGTGGCTGCCACAGGATCGATTCCTCTCCCCTTAGCCGGGAACCCACCTTATACACCCACCCCCAGGGGAACAGGTGCATCACATCTAAATTAGACAGGGGGGAGAGAAACAAACAAGCCACCAGCAGAGGCAGCAGCACAGAATGTGGAGCTCATCACCAGAGGAAGGAGAGGGACGTCAGAGTAAGAATCCACCTTTCCACTGTGTTCAGGGGTATATCTGTATAGCTGCAATGACACTGTGAGTGTATTGTGGGACACATTGTGGCTGACAGTGCCATTCCTAAACATATATATGTGGAATCCTAATGGAACTGAATTTATATTTTTTCTGGTAACTGGTAATCATCTACACTGCATCATTGATGGTCAGGTGTTTTTTTCCAACATCACAAACATTTTGATGTAGTACTAACGTGATTTATTAAGATCTTATATTATTTATCTTTAACATATGATTAATTTGATTATATTACTTATCTTTACCTCAGGACCGCTGTAGGTTTTGAGCTAATAAAATGTCTGCCGTTTGCCGCCCCCTGCTGGCCAAAGCATCGCCGCTGCGATATCAGGAAGCTGCGCTCAGTCACCAGAGAGCGCGGATTAAGTGCGTTACTCGGTTACGCTTCGGGCAGCGCTGAATCGGGACATTAATAGGATAGAACAGGAAACCTCTATTGTCAGTGTACAGGTAGCAAATACAATATACAGACAGAAATATATAAAATGTACATAAAGAGGGGAGGGGAAAAGCCCCCCCTATACTCATCAGGATTACATTTCATTACATTTTATTTTATTCATAATCAGAATTCACTTTATTGGTACAGCTGCATGTACTATGATTTTGTTTTGGCAGTTTTTGTGCATTTACAGACAACATAGAACAGAAGTCAGAGAAAAACAGTCATATTCTGCATGGGTTTGGCAAGCTGAACAAACATTCAATTTTGTCTAACATACGTCACACTTCAGACAGAGTAAAAAGGGTCATACTGGTTAAAAAGCAGAGATTTTACCTTTTTGCCATGGAGAAGCAGAGACATGTGACATTCTGATAAGGTAAAAATGATTCCTCCAGCACATAGTGAGCTATCCCAGCATGCACAGGGACACGGAGGAGTTTGTATTCATCGTAAACCCTGGATAGAGGGGTTCAGTGAATGAGGAGGTGAAGCTGTACAGGAGGGTCAGTCCACCAGAGGAGACTCTGTAGAAGGACAGAGTACCAGCCGCCCAGTCTAGATACACTCCTACTCTGCGGAGACCTGAGGGCTTTATGGGTATGTCAGCCTGTTTATTATTGTGCCGGACAGAGTAACTGTGAGGAGAGCAGAACAGACTCCATGACTTGTCATTGGCTCCAAGCCCACAGTCAGTAATGTTTCCTTTCCTCCAGATTCCTTTATAAGTCACTCCTATCAGGGCTCCTTTTCCACTCCACTCAGCCTCCCAGTAACAGCGGCCAGTCAGACTCTCTCTGCACAGAACTTGGAGCCACCAGTCAAATCTCTCTGGATGATCAGGATATGGCTGCTGCTCTGCCCCCCGTGTCACCTTCCTGTTCCCCTCTGACAGAGACAGGTATCTGTTTGCTGTGTTGGAGTCCAGCGTCAGCTGGCAGGAGTCTGTAGGCAAGAGGAAGAGTGATTAATCCCATCACGAAGCCCAGCATCTCCATCATTATCACTGTCACACCTCACACACTCACTAACACAGAACTCGCTCCAATACACACATTTTATTCCCAATATACTCATGTAGCCGCCCGAGTCTGCGGCGCTCCGGCTGCCCCCTAAACTGTGAGACACGCCGCGCTGAGAGACTCGCTGGGGACCGAACTGCACTTTAGCCTGCGCTCTATTATTCTGTACGATACATAGAATATAAAAGCAGCACATCATCCCCTAATGAAGCAGGAATTCAAGTATGTGAAATACCTCAGGAAATGTCGGATGCCCACGCGACGCCGGCGGGAAGATGCGCGTGTTAAACTAATATGCTTAATTATAGGTAAATAAAATTACAAACAGCATGCATCAAACGTATTAACCATAAAATCATACGACAAAGATTACCACTAAAAGTGAGTTTGTCTTTACGTCACAATATTAACTCCTTTCAAACCACGTTGGACACACACCTCTCTCCAGCAGCGCGCGGACGCGGACGCATCTAGATTGGTTCTCTGCAACGCGCAATACTCGAGTATTACACCGCGCATGCGTACACGAAAATGTTCATATTTCTTTGTTTAAGCTGTGTACTTTGAACATGCGTACGTGTCCTATTTAAGTATTATTATTAGTAGTAAATTATTATTCTAGTATTCCTTGCACATGTACCACAGCAGTGAGGTCTGTGTATGTTTCCCTACGTTTTACAAATTCAAAACGCCAGTTCACAGGGTTGCAAACTTTAATCAACTGGCTGGCGTGAGACACAAGTCTGCACACACATGCATAAGCATTTATATGTATGTAACAGTTTTATTGGGATGGCAGTATGGTCACGTTTTGTCAGGGGACATCGTCTTTACTTACGGTACAGATAGTATTAAAGTAGCATCTGATTTTTTTAACAATGAGTGGCCAGAAGAGGCAAGAAAGAAAATTTTCCGAACACTATTGTGTCCTTCTGTGTACAGCGTCTTCAAAATTAAGTAAAAGTTTATATAAAAAAAGCAGTGTCATGTGTACGATGAAATTCTAACTTGAAATTCTTAATTGCCTACTTTCATAAGTAGCGTTATTTTTCAATGCAGTTCCATCCATCCATTTTGTGCCACTTATCTAATCTAATATATAACATATAATCTGTATATAATGCAGTATATATTATATATAATCTCTCAGGGTATACATAATATATAATCTCTGGGTCTGCCCCGGGGCTTCCTTCCGGTTGGACATGCCCTGAAACACCTCCCCAGGGAGTCATCCAAGAGGCATCCTAGATAGACGTCCGAACCATCAGCTGACTCCTTTCAATGCGGAGGAGCAGCGGCTCTACTTTGGGCCCCAATGACTGAGCTCCTCACCCTCTCTCTAAGGCTGAGCCCAAACACCCTGCTGAGGGAACTAATTTCTGCTGCTTGTATCACAATCTCATGTTTTCGGTCATTACCCAGAGCTCAGGACCATAGGTGAGGGTAGGAACGTAGATCAACTGGTAAATCGAAAGCTTTGCATTCCAGCTCAGTTCCCTCTTTGTCCAAATTGCCGCACCGTGAACAAAGACCCCGAGATCAAAGTCAAAGTGAACTTCATTGTCATCTCCACCATATATAAGTATACAGAGAGACGAAATGGCGAAGCTCAGAGACCACAGTGTGACATAAACTTAGTCCAATATAGAAAACAAGACAAGACGATGTGCAAAGGACTTACAGGATAGTGCAACTGAGGAAGAGGAATAGTAATGTGTAATATTGGGTAATGGCCAATATTGTTAGAACTATATTAAATATATGATGTTTTTATGTAATCAGTTAGACCTGAATTCACCATCATGTACATTGTAACAGTATGAGTACACAGTGTAAAACAGTGTATGATAATAGTAGTAATAACAGTAACACATCTAAAATTTCTAACAGCTGAAAATAGGAATAGAAGCAGAATAATGGAGCAGACAGAGAATAATGGGGATTCTTCTTATTGCCCCCATGTCAGAGTGACAAAGTGTTAAGTGCAGTGCAGCGCTTAAAGGTCGGTCTGTGGCCTTTAGTCGTGGGTTAAGGGGGGGTTGAGGCAGTGATGAGGCAGAGTGAGGGATCCTGGGGGGCAGCATGGTGTTGAGGAGCCTGACAGCCTGGGGGTAAAAACTGCCACGCAGCCTGGCAGACCCGGCTCTGATGCTGCAGTATCTTCTCTCAGATGGCTGGAGTGTGAAATGACCATGTGAGGGATGTGATGGGTCCTGCACAATGCTGCAGGCCTTGTGGACACTGCGTTTGTAGGGAAGGGAGAGGCATCCCATAATGTTCTCTGCTGTCTTCACTACTCTCTGCAGGCCCTTGTGGTCAGATTTGTTACAGCTGCCATAGCAGATGGTGATGCAGTTAGTCAGAACACTGCCGATGGTGCCTCTGTAGAACATGGTGAGGATGGGAGGGGGAAGGTTTGCTTCTTTCAGCCGCCTCAGGAGGTATAGTCTCTGCTGGGCTTTCTTGAATAAGGAGGTGGTGTTTGTCCATGTAAGTTCCTCAGTTACAGTATGTCCACACTGAGGAACTTGGTTCTCCTTACAATTTCCACAGCAGTACCGCTGATGCTGAGTGGGGTGTGGGCAGGACGTGTCCTTCTGAAGTCCACAATTATCTCCTTTGCCTTGTCAACGTTGACAGATAGATTGTTGTCTCTGCACCTTGTGGACAGCCTTTCCACCTCTTCTCTGAGTGCTGATTCATCTTCTCTGTTTATCAGTCCCACCACAGTTGTATCATCCAAAAACTTGATGATGACGCTGTTGGAGGTGTTGCAGCCCATACGTACTGACTGGGGCCTCTCTGTCAGGAAATCCAAGATCCAACTGCAGAGAGTGATATTCAAGCTTAACCCCCTCAGCTCTACAGTCAGTTTTTGAGGAACGTATTGAAGGTAGAGCTGAAGTCTATAAATAACATTCTGACATATGTGACTCTCTTATGCAAATGTGACAGGGAGAGGTGACGGGCAGAGGCTATGGTGTCCTCAGTAGACCTGTTGGACCGGTATGCAGATCGGAGAGGGTCTAGAGAGGTAGGAAGATTGGTCTTTATGTGTGACATGACCAGCCTTTCCAAGCACTTCATGATGATTGACATGAGTGCTACTGGGCAGTAGTCATTCAGGCCTGTCACTGATGGCTTCTTCAGTACTGGGATGATGGTGGTTAATTGGAAGCATACTGGGACAGACCACTGGCTTAAAGAGGTGTTGAAAATATCTGTGAGGACACCAACCAGGTGGTCAGTGCATTCTCTCAGCACACGGCCAGGTATATTGTCAGGTCCTGCAGCCTTGCGTGAGTTGACTCTGGATAGAGTACTTCTCACATCAGCTGTAGACAGACAGAGTAGCTCAGCTCCTTATTCTGTACATCAGAGTCTGCAAAAAAGTTGTTTAGCTCTTCTGGAAGGGAGACATCACCGCCACTTATGTGTGGGTTGGGCTTGTAGATCGTGATTGGCTGAATGCCCTGCCATATGCGGCGTGTGTCTTTGGTGCAATTAAAGTGTTCATTGATCCTCTGTGCATGTGCCTGATTGGTTATCCTCATAGCTCGGGACAGGTTGCCTCTGGACGTCCTGAGGGCAGCCTTGTCTTTAGGTCTGAAAGCTGCATTTCTGATTCTTAGCTGTGTGCGCACTTCCCTCATCATCCATGGCTTTTGGTCGGCTCTCGTGGTCATCGATCACAGAGTTTATATACTCCTCCAGGTTGATGGCGTCACCATTTATAGCAGCCTCCTTAAAAATGTCCCAGTCAGTAGATTCAAAGCAGTCTTGGAGAGCTGAGACGGCACCAGCTGGCCACACTCTTACTGACTGGTTTGGTGAGCTTCAGTATACATTTATACACAGGAACCATGAACACAGAGACATGGTCTGAGTAGCTGAGGTGAGGGCAGGGAAGAGCCTTGTAGGCCTCACAAACGTTTGTACAGACATTGTCCAGACAGATTCTCTCTCTAGCTGGGATGTTCATATATTGGAAGAATTTGGGGAGAACTCGCTTCAGATTTATCACTTAGATTTATCACTATCACTTATTCACGTGATGTTTGAGAAGAAATCAAAAATCTTGGATCAAGACTGCTGACATACAAATTATTAAAGAACTCAGTGCAGAAGTTGGCTATTTTCTTGATGTCATCCGCAACATTTCCATAAATCCTCACCCGCATAATGCAGTTGTTCCTGGTTTGCTGTCTTTCTAGTTCTGCTCACCTTGTTCAAGCCATTTTTGCCACAATCTAACAAAGGCTCCTTCTGCCTTATGTTTATATAATCATCCAATTTATTCTGTAAGTCACCTCCTACAATTTTTTCTGTGTCAGTAAGACGATTGATTGGTTTTCAGGTTAAAGCAGTAATCTCATTTATAATTTTGTTTTCTCTTCTGATTCGAGCCAAGTCACTACTAAACCTTCTGACAAATTTTGCTACATCATGTTTTATAAGTTATTATTACAATATTTTTTTCTGTATTGGGTCTGTTCCAGTGTAAGTCAATTATTTATTCTATATTCAAAATAGCTACTTTATTTCTCAAGATTGAACTGTTTAATTTCCAGTATGAAGATATTTTATATCTAGTAGACAATGACAATATGGATATATGGATGTCAATGGATTGGTGGTCAGAAAATGGTGAAGGTATAATGTTTCTTCAGATATTTCCTAATTCATTAGAAGTAGCCAAACATCAGTTTATGACTTGAAAAGGTGTTATTGTTCCATGAAAAAGACCTTTGAAGTGGATGGGTCATTTTCCAAACATCTGCTCAGTCAAACTCCTGCATAAAGTCCTTCAGGTAAGAATCACCACTGGCTGAATGATGTGGAGACCATCTGCTAGACTATTGAAATGGTGTCTTCACAGGTCTTGGTAATAAATCAATCAGACAGCTGCAGCTCATCCAGAATGCTGCCATCAGAGTCCTCAGTAACACCAAGGAAGTAGAGCATATTACCCCGGTCCTTAAATCACTGCACTGGCTTCCTGTGCATCACAGGATTGATTTTAAAATATTATTACTTGTCTATGAGGCACTCAATGGCATTAATTTCCCTGAACGTTGTGAAGCATCCAGACCCCTGAGGGCATCTGGCAAAGGTTTACTCAGTGTTCCCAGAATGAAGACCAAGCAGGCTGAAGCAGCTTTTAGTCTCTATGCTCCCTGTCTGTGGAACAAGCTTCCTGAAGACCTGAGGTCTGCTGACATTGTCAGCTCATTATATTCAGGGCTTTAAAGTTACTGTTTGCTGCAGCTTTTCAATAAATTAAATCAGCAGGAGTTTAATCATACGCTGCCTCTACAATGTCACTTCTTTTTAGTTAACTGTTTGTTTTTTGGGCTTTTAGACTTTTTAAAATTGTATTTTAAATTGACAATTAACGTGTCTGTAAGTCCCACACCAAAGTCCTGAAGTACTGAAAAAGTAACCCAGCTGCAATGGTACTTTTGATATTGGAACTTCTGGTACTGGTACTCGACCAGATGTCAATGGAAAAGGGAAAGAACCAAAAGTACCGTACCTGGTGCAGTGGAAAAGCACCCTGAATGAACTTGCCTTACTTTGCAATTGGATTCAAAGTCTACTGAGATAAACAGCTCATGTAAATGTGAAAGACCAGGAGGCAGCGGGAGAGAGAAAGAG